AGTTCTTGTCCATGCATCCCGATGCGAGGTGTCATTCCATAACCGCGATCCCTTCCGCCACGCTTTGTGAGGTGAAGCCGCTGTTCCAGGCTCTTTTGGCTAAGACATCTGGGCCTTCTTCCTTGCAGCCTGTCAATCTGATCCCCACTCAGGCGGCCACACACGAGGTCGCTATCGAAGTTATTGCCATGCTGTTCAGTGGAATGGTCGCCCAGAGTACTTCGGCGGCGGTGGCTGTTGTCTTTGGCGCGCTCCAGCAGTTGCTCGAGTCTAACGTTTTTGCCTCTCATGTGCGCCTGGTCCTGGGTCAACGGGACCGCGGTGGCCCCCGTGCCCGAGGGTCTCGTGATTTTTCCTGCTGGTGATGGAGCTTCTCTTGGCCATCGCGATAGTGGCTCTGCGCTGGACGACGCCTTCCTTTTCGAGGACGACGAGGTCTGCTCGGACTGCTGTGCGGACAGCTTCGCCGAGGTCGTGCACGACAACGACGGCCAATGCATGTCGAGGCGATCCTGCTGGTTGGCCTCTGCTCCGTTGCCCTCGGTGCCTTTCGGTGCTGGCGTGCGCCCACCTGTCTCGTCCGCGCTCCCGTGTATGCGGCCGTATTCGTCAGGCTTCAGCCTTCCGCTGTGCTGTTTAGGGTGCGGATTAGTGCAGATTCTTCGTTGTTGGCATTCGCTTCCTTTGCGCTCGTCTCCTCCTCCTCCTCCTCCTTCTCCTCGTCCTCACTTCTCCTCCTCCTCCTCCTCCTCCTCCTCCACCTCCTCCTCCTCCTCCACCCCCCTCCTCCTCACTTCTCCTCCTCACTTCTCCTCCTCACTTCCTCGCTCCTTCCCTCAACACGCTCCAGGACGGACTCAAGAGGCTGCCCAAGAGGGCCCTGGAAGGCAAGATTCACTCGTTTTCCGAGTGTTTTGGATTTTGGCGTTCTCGCTTTTCCCGCTTTCCAGTGCTCCCTTCACGGCCTCGGAGACCCTTCAGATCGCTCCAAGAAGGCCCACGAGGCCCCGACGAGGGCCCCAAGACGGCCCAGGATGCTCCCCAGACAACCCAAGTGTGCCCCAAGAGCGCGCCAAGAGAAGGCCCAGAGGGGTTCCGAGGCGGCCCGGGCCCGCCACGAAGCAGGCCACGACAGGCTGATGGAGGTCCCGAGAAGGCAAGACGCTCCCAAGAGGCTCCGAAGACGCCCAAGCTGCCCTCGAGACGGCCGACGAGGACTTTTTGAAGGATTTAGGCGTTCTCGCTTTCCCCGCTTCCCAGCGCTCCATCACGGCCTCGCTCGGAGGCCCTTCAGATCGCTGCAAGACTGGCCACGACGCACCGAAGAGGGCCCCAAGACGGCCCAGGAGGCTTCCCAGACAACCCAGCTGTGCCCCAAGAGCTCCCCAAGAGAGGGCCCAGAGGGGGACCGCCAACCGATATTTCGAGGTCTCTGGCCCTAGAGGCCGCCTGTAGGCCCCCGGAGGCCACCAAGAGCCTCCCACGAAGCCCCGTGAGGCGCCCGAGAGGCGCCCAGGAAGCCCCAAGAGACCCCCAAGGCGCTCCCAGGGAACGCCCAAGAGGCCCCCCAACACACCCCAAGAAATCATGTCCCCAGAAAACCTTCCGGGGACATGGTTCATCATGGGCCCGAGAGTTCCCGGAGGCCCCCAAGGGGCCCCCAGGGAACGCCCAAGAGACCCCCCAACACACCCCAACAAACCATGTCCCCAGAAAGCCTTCTGGGGACATGGTTCATCATGGGCCCGCGAGTCTCCGGAGGCTTCGAAGTACCATCATGCTACAGGAGAGCTGTCTGGGAAGTTGATTGGGAGCATGACTGATCGCCTTCTCGCGGCCCTCCGCAGATCGTTTCGCACAAAGTTGCCCCAAGTGCTCTCTTGAACCGACGACGATGACGACGACGACGACGAAACGACGAAGGCGACGACGACGACGACGACGACGACGACGACGACGACGACGACGACGACGACGACGACGACGACAGCGCGCCCCAGTAGGCGACGACGACATTACGACGACGACGACGACGATGACAACGACGACGACGACGACGACGACGACGACGACGACGCCGACGACGACGACGACGACGACGACGACGACGGCACGCCCCAACAGGCTCCCCAAGACGCCCCCAAACCCATGCTCCCAGAAGGCCTTCTGGGAACCCGATTCATACGGCCTCCGCCCCCCTACACAACCATTTTCCTCGAAGGCCTTTCGGAATGCAGATTGGCATGCGTGTACTGTGGTCCACTACTTCGGAGGAGCAGTGAATTCGTCAAGGCCTGGGGCCTGCTAGAACCTGAGCGCGCGCGAAGCGCGCGCGATGCTTTTAGTATATGTATATATATATATATATATGTATTTACATGTCTATGTCTCTATGTTTGTGTATGTCCATGTTTATGTGCATGTGCATGTCGCCGTACATGTACATGTATCGATAGATGTTTGTCCCCCCCCCTGTCGGGGCCCTCACCGCTGCCTCTTGGGGTGCTCTTGGGGCGCTCTTTGGGCGCTCTTGGGCTCCTCTTTGGCCCCTCTGGGGCCCCTCATGGGGCTCTCTTGGGCCATCTTGGAGCCATCTTGCGGTGTCAAGAGCCCCTCGGAAGCGAAAAGGCGAGAAAGCACATTGATTTCCTGCCGGTTTGGGATAGATGGCTTCTCGGGGGGTTCCCTCGGAGGCTCCGTGGCCTCTTGGAGCCGTCTTGGAGAGGTCATGGCGCCTATTGGAGGCATGTTGTAAGCTATCTTGAAACATCTCGGGATACCTTGTGCCATTTTGCAGGTCACATTGGGCTTCCAGGGGCTGTTTTGGGGCCATCTTGGGCCATCCTGGACGCTCCAAGCTCTCACGGAACGCCCCCTCCAGACCCAGGGAGAGGGGGTATGGGGTAGAGGTCGACCTCTCCCCCAAGGTAAAGTGGAGCTTGCAATAACTAATTCCTTAAGCCACCTGCGCCCAAAGGGCTGGCAGGATTTCAACAGCGCTCTTCGCGCGTCGTCAAATATTGGTCGCCCATTCAAAGACGAGCCTTTGCGACTTGTGTGTGTGTGTGTGTGTGTGTGGATGCGTCCGAACGTGCGCTTCGTGCACGGCAACATGTGGCACGCACGTCGGCTGTAGGACAAAACGTGGACACACACTTTCCACAACACGCATCTACTGCTTTGGACGATGTGTCAGGAAAGAATTCAGTAGGGAAAGAAAAGCACAGACACAATGAATCGTCGACTCCCAGGAAAGTATTCGAAAATATGGGAAGTGGGGGGGAAGACGAATACCTCGAAAATACGGGAAAATATACGGAATCCCGGGATTTGCGTGTGTGTGTATTTGTTTGTGTGTCCTTGGGCCCCTGGAAGAATAGCATGCCACCCCTCCCCCTCTGGTCTGCAGGACGCGCCCTGCCAGCCCCCCGCCGTCGCGCGCCAGGTCTGCGGCGCCCGTGGAGGTCGCGCCGGCGGGCCCCGCCGCCGCCGCTGCCGCGGACGTCGTCCTGAAGTCGCGCGTGGACCACCTGGAGAAGGACCCGTGCAGGGGGTCGAAGGATGACATAAACACGCGAAACTCGGAGGTCCGCGCGGACTCGTGGATGCAGTTCTTCGCTCCCCTATCGTGGCCGCGGGTTCTGGGGCGTGAGCGGCACCGGCGGCAGGGCGGCCTCCTCCCCCTCCTCCTGGCCCTGCCGCCTGTAGACTGGGCGGGCCCGCCCGTCCTTGTCCTCCTCTCGCCTCCCCGCCCCCCCCCGCCTCCCCGCCGCGACGAAGAACCTGTTCAAGGGGCGGGGTCGATAGCTCTGCCACCCGCGTCATGGCAGAAACGCGGCTTCGGAGGCCTGGGATCACGTTCAAGGAAGCTGTTGGCCGCACAAGCGCGGGTCGTTGCAGAAGTTGCGAAGCGAGGCCCCCGCGCAACGCTCCCGCCGCGGGGCCTCAGAATGACTTCGCGAGTCATGCCGGTCGACTTGAACGGACTTGTGATGGGAATATGTGCGCCCACGCATTTGTTGCTCAAGAGGCTTGCGCCATCCCGCCGACCCCCAGAGGAGGAGACGGGCGGCTTCCGATGTCGTGAGTGTCGTTTGCGATTTCCCGTTTTGCGGCCTGCTTGTAGCTGTCGCTGGTTCGTTCTCTTCTTCCTCCATGTCTGTTGCGGGGCTTCTCGGGAGCCTCCTGGAGGCCCATGGGGGCGGCCCAGTGGTGCTTTCTCGAAGCTCCGTGGGCTTTTTTGGGGGCCCTCTGGGGGCTTCCTTATTGTATCGGGGACGGTGATGTAAATCGAAGCTTGTGCGCAATCGGATGCGCTGGCGCCCCGTCTGCCACGGCAATCGCGCGGCAGCCTCAGGTCTCAGACCAGAGGGCCTCGCAAGAAACAGTTTAGCGATCCTCTCGTCTCCATACCCTGCTGTTGCTTTCGGACCCGAGCGCAGTCTTGGACATACAGTCGGGGCCCTGAAGAAGGAACCCTTTTGGTTGGGGAGGGGCCCCGCGTTCCTTAAGTGTTTCACAGCTTGCCGCAGGTTTCCCTTATGTGTCCGATAGGAAATCGAAGTTTAACTTATGGAAGAAAGAGGCCTCGTTCCGTATTTAGGGTTGCTTAGGTCAACGCCCCGACTGTATTTGAACACATTGATGCGGATATCCGACTGTCAGCGCTCTCTGGTTGCATCGCTTCGGGAACTTACGCCGTCCCTCTCGCGGAAGCGGACGAGTCTGGCATGACTTTGAGCCCATGCTATGCCAATGGCGGCGATGTTAAAGTCTGCCGTCGAGCCTTGCAGGCTGTCTGGCTGGTGGGTGGAGCTGCGCCCGAAATTTTCTCAGTGGTGGCGCATTGCTTCCAGTCGCAGGTGTACGGTATTGCTCGACGCATTGTACGCACTCTTCAAAAGCTGGAATAGATTGCAGAACCTGCCCTCCCAATATTGACTGATCTTTATCCATGTCCCATTAACCTTCAGACTGCGTCATCGCATCGCTACCGGGAA